AGTAGTGGTTTTGGAGATTCGAAAACCAAAAGAATCAATATTTAAGTTCGGTGATCCACAGCCATTTTACGAGCTGTTTTAGTTGTATTAGCTTCGTGCTTTTAAAACCTTATTGATGAAAACCCATGGGGTAATTAGATAAGAATTATTTTCGAGGCTCAACTTTTCTAACTCACATCGTCATTGTGTTAAGACAGGATAAGTGAAAATGATAGTCATCCATAGTAAAGATATTACTTCCATTACATTCCAGTGGAGATTAAAGTACATCTTTACTCTTGAATCTTAGATTTTCTACTATTGATTTCAGTCAATCGTGTCAATGATATAGTTCAAAAGTGGTTACCATATAAACGAATAGATTGATGGTAGGTTCTCGAAAAAACAATCTGAATTTCATATCTCCTAATATGAAGCTTAATTGTTTTGAACATATAGAACACAATTTGTCGGCAAAGCAAATATGTACAGAAAACGTGCTATACGATAATCTACAAACTTATCCATCTATCCCTTGAAGCATTTAGAATAAAATACGGTCTTATCTTTTTACATAGGCCAGAACACATTATTTTTCTTTAGCTTAATCTCATGAAGACTTTATCTGATGTGAACTGTAGAGTTTCTGCATCATTTTTCACTCACATTGGAATAGTCTTAATTCAATATATATCCCGTATATTAATTTCAGTTGAATTAACACGGTGGGGAATATGAACTTTCTAGGCCAACTAACTAACTAACCAAACTACAATGTATTTTTATTTGAAGATACACACACACACACACAAACTGTACTTTTTGAAATGAAACAAATCAGGTAGATTCATCTAATATGAACAGACAATAATGAGTCATATGTGTATGGAAAATAAATCCCACTATGCAATTGTGCGCTTGATAAGAGAGACGATAAAGAAAACGCAAATAAACAAAAAACATCTTGAACAAATTGAAAGGACAACAAAATGTAAGATTAGATGATTTTTATGAATGAAAGTGATGTTTGTTATTGATATTAGTCTTACTTTTCTAACCATGTAATTGTATAAAGAAGCAGTTTGAAATAGATAATTGTGACTTATATGAACAAGTAGTTAAGTTCGTATTCTTAATTATTAGATACCAGGCATTTAGGAGGCAGTCGGTAAAGAACCCTGGACGTAGGATTTTTTTTTCTTGGAACTCGTCAGTAAAGTTTATCCGGAATCTATGGGGGAAATTATGCTCTTTGAGATCCCAGTTGTCTTCAGTGAGTATCACAATCAGAAATGTTAACCATTTAGTGATTCAAGCTAACTAGTGTCAAATATCATGAAGCTTGTGCCCAGTGCTTCGTGCAGTTTGCCTACAGCTGTCCAATATCAATAAAATAGTGTCAAGGGCTTGGTCAAGCGGTTACATTACAAATTGATTAGTAGAATTCGATCAATACCAAGGTTTAAACAAATATGACATTTTCTTAGTTTTAGCTAGATTAGTATTAGAAACCAGAAAGCCCTAGACATCTGCATCACCCTAGTATGGAACTCTCAACAGTGTACATCCACGAACCCTCTTTGCCTCTAGACCAATGAACTAGCATGACATCTGTTACCACTTTTTAAAACGCGGGTTGTGGATGTTCTTGTAGTTCACTTGCTCTTATCTCAATACCAGGAAAAGTCTTCAACAGGGTATTTATAAACAGAATTAACGACTACGTAGATGCCCAACATTGAGACCAACAGGCAGGATTCCGTAAGGATAGATCGTGTACAGACCAAATCGCAACTCTACTGATCATTGTGGAACAATCAAATGAATGGAATTCATCACTCTGTATCAACTTCATTGACTACGAAAAAGTATTTGATAGCGTGGACAGAACAACACTATGGAAGCTTCTTCGACACTACGGCGGGCCTCAGAAGATAGTCAATATCATAAGGAATTCCTATGATGGATTAAACTGCAAAATCGTGCATGGAGGACAGTTAACAAACTCGTTCGAGGTAAAGACCGGTGTCAGGCAAGGTTGCTTACCCTCACACTTTCCCTTTCTCCTGGTGATCAACTAGATCAAGAGGACATCAACATCTGGGAGAAGCATGGGATACAGTGGACAGCTAGGATGCAGTTGGACGATCTAGATTTCGCAGATGGTCTGGCTCTTCTATCGCACACGCAACAACAAATGCATGAGAAGACGAACAGTGTAGCAGCAGGCTCAGTAGCAGTATGTCTCAACATACACAAAGGGAAGAGCAAGATTCTCCGATACAATACAACATGCAGCAATCGAACCACACTTGACAGAGAAGATTTGGAGGATATAAAAATCTTTATATATCTGGGCAGCATAGTTGATGAACACGGTGGATCTGATGCAGATATGAAGGCGCGGATCGGCAAAGCAAGAGTAGTATATCTACAACTGAGGAACATCTGGAACTCAAAACATTTGTCAACTAACACCGAAGTCAAAACTTTCAATACAAACTGTTATAACTCGTCGTTTGAATGCTTATTGTCTTGGCTCTGTTAATGCTACTTTTTGTATTTGGTCGTCGCTGATTGTTATGTCGGAAACGCTTATCACTTATACTAGGAACGAGGGACCTCCGTAATTCCCATGACGCGAAATTAAGAACACAAAGACTGGTATAAGTGATGATTTATTAACTCCAAAACACGACGACAACAACTCTAGTCGAAAATACACTCATTTATATATTGATTGTACACCCATTTTGATTAATAATTAGAATGTAATCATATATATGAAAAATGTTTAGAGTTATAACAAATCACATACTGAGCATAGTTCGTGTCAATTGAATACAAGAATATCGTATATTATACAGAATGAAATATCATACGAGACAATGAAACAAATACTACATTGAGTAATCGTTACATTGAATCAAAACGGAAGTAATCTTGAACAAAACTCATAATGAGTAAATCAGTCGAAAATTGACTTTTCTTTCCATCATATCAAAAACGTCAAGACAGTTTTACTGTATAGAGAGGAAAATTGGAGAACTATGCTTTAGGTTCCGCCAATCCATTCTTTTTATCTAGAACCATATTGTCTATGCATAATCTTTTCTATTACCAATGATGATATTGTGGTGTGAGCTACTTATATTCATATAAGCAGTATATAACGTGCGTTAAAGGAACGTGATGTTTGGCAGCGGAAGATGGCGAAGATCAAGAAAGGTAAAGTGAGAACACATTGGAATTTGTAAGAAAATGCATGAACAATGGAATGGGAGACAATGGATTGGTGTTTGCAACAGAAACAGTCCAGTTTGGTTTGATGCATGAATATTTTGCAAATTGATGATTGACTATATGGTATTCAGATTTTGTTGAGATAGACTGTAATTGTTGTGCTAAGTACATCAGTTTGTCCCCACCCGTGTTCTTGTTCACTACAATATTACTACTTTTACTACTCTATCATCTCTCTTGATAATTTAATTTAATTATACTGATTTGGTGTGGTGAATTGGACAGACTGGTACATGTACCAGGTTCTGTGTTGCTCATAACTGACTGACTGATTTCAGCTACACTGTATAATAGTGATGTGCAAGAAATAATTTAGCTAAAAATCTACTAAGAATAATTCTCCGCTTCTAATCAAAGATTCATGCAAAGAAAATTAAAGAAGTATGATTTATTGAGTAAACTAAATAGAAAAATCTTGAGAACTCTCTCATTTTTATTCTTTACTATGTTAAATAATTCCTGCTAAAAAAATTTACGATCATTTACATTGCACAGACTTCGGTCATATATAATATTTTTATCATGTACCAAAATTGGTAAACGAAATGTCTGAATAAAGGAGTGTAGAATCTAGTGGAATAGTAATTCAGTTGGGAATTTACAACTCAATGAATAGAATCAGTAACTAGTACCTGTAAAATAGACGACCAAAATAAAAGTATTATTCATCTAACGTGTAACGATGAATATTATAGAAGCTAGCGATACTAGCTGATCACCTAAACCATTGTAACAGTAATAAGATTTAAACCTGAGATCTATAGATTACAGGTTAAATGCTTGAATTGGAGAGAAAATCTTGCACAGTAGTCAGTTAGGGCTTACTGTGTGTGGATTAACATATGTTGATAAAATTTGACACCTTTGGTTGAATTATAGAGATAATGGAACTATTGTTTATACTTGTATTTTGTTAGGTAGTTGGAAGGAAAATCTGACACTTGACAGCAAAACAAACCTGTGATCTTAAGTGAACTGACGCTCCCTGTGGGATTAGAACGCAGGTTACTCAGTTTTGCGCTCCAAGACGTCATCACTAAGCTATTCAGATTGCCACTGTCCATCTGTATGATTGAGATATTTATAATTGATTGATCAATGGTTGACGACGAGTGTCGTGTCATTTAGTCGTCGTGTGACTACATTGCAATTCGGTTTATAAAATTCGATCACCACTAAAAAAACTGGACAAATATGGCCACTCGATTGCATATTTGTTGTCCTTTAATCGTCCAGTTAGAAAGAAAAGATAACTATATCTTATCTATTTTTCGACTCCCTCTGTCGGAAAGTGTTACTCCAATTAGTATTTCATGTTGTGATAGAATGTGATACAGTATACAACGTAAAATCTTCGCTTTAACCATCGAACGTACATAACCCTACTCACATATAGAAGGAAAAGTAAATAAATCATATAAAAAAGGATTTACTTTATATTGGAATAACTGTGTTTAGTGTATCTTAAAAGTCACATACAAATGTTCTGGATTGCAAGTTGGATGTCATCAGTGCAATATTGTGCTTAAAATAATCACTAGTTTGACATCAGAAAGATTAACTGCTATTCAAATTACAGATAAATAATTAGAAGATAAAACGCTGATAAGTATTTACAGGACTTTACATTGATGGCTGTACATTAAGAACTGATAGAAAAGAAAAAAAGAGAGAAGAATTTTACAAGATAATCCTTTCATAACTTTCATCCAGTAAACTTAAGCGAATAAATCAATATGAGGCTCATCGTCATTCTGTACATTACTGTCAGTATTATGATTATCATCATCATCATCATTCTTTTTAGACATATATTTCTCTTGAATCATACCTATCCAATCAGGTGCCAGTTCAACACCAGAAGCTGAATGTAATAAACTTTGAAGATTGTGCTGTTCATTTGTTCCAAACACATAACCATTAGCACGATCCACATAACGCATAACACGTTCTATATGTGATAGATCTTGTATATCCAATAACAAAAATTGAACAATTGAACGATCTTGTATTAAATCAATGATAGCTTGATTTAAACGTGTATATTTACTATTGAATAATAACTGATCATTATTATTTGTAGTTTTATGTAAACAATCAATTAAATATTGTAAATCTAATACTTCTGTGAAAAAATCTAAATTAAAATCTAATTCACCGTATTGTTCAATTAAATCCGCTTTACTTAATATATTTACATGTGGTATAGATAATTGTAGCATAGCTGATAAAGAAGTTAATACACATGCGATAAATTTTCCAGCATCTGAACAATAATGTGAATCAATTAAATGTACTGATGTTAAATGTAAATCAAGAGAATTAGGTAAATCATCTTTAGATAATGGTAAGGATGATGAAGATTGTATTGATGAGAGTAATGGTAATTGGTCTTTAGTGTTTATTTTTAAATTGGTTGGTTTATTTGTAAGATAACAGACAAGTTGACGCATACATGGATGATGTGTGTATAACTCCACCTTGAAGAATAGAGAAAAAACAATACATATAATATTCTTGAAACTTATAATAACAGTTTAGTTTAGTAGTTAATGTGGTATATGCTACTTATGTTGATAGATATAGATAGTATTTAAAACCAATTAGGAAAGAAATGTCTTGCAAAAGAAAACTGAGAAGATCGAGTTGGAGAGAACAGAGAGAAATTGAAATAGAAACAATATTGAGAGAATCATGAAAAAATGTAAATGACAACTGATGGAAGATGTGCAAATGATGCATTCAATATATAGTTTTCGTATTTTACCAAAGCACTCTGTGGTTTCGTACCAAATATTCGTTCACTACAATAATCCTATGATAATAATATTTTGTTTAATCTTTAGTGTTAACTGAATTCTGTCAATTAATTTTACAATCTGACAAAATCGATGTAAGCTTTCTATTTTTGAGGTTACTTACTTACTTATGCCTGTTACCCCTAGTGGAGCATAGACCGCTGATCAGCATTCCCAACCCACTATGTTCTGAGCCTTCCTTTCCAGTTCTATCCTATTGTTGTTTATTCCTCCCACGTCTATCTCCATTTCTCAGCTTAATGTGTTCTTTGGGCTTGAGAATTCCATGTTAGGGCTTGCCTTGTGGCACAATTCGGTGCTTTCCTCAATGTGTGTCCTATCCACTTCCAGCGCATCTTCTTGATTTCTTCCTCCGCTGAAATGTGGTTTGTTTTTTTACACAGTAAGCTGTTGCTGATAGTGTCCGGCCAACGAATCCGAAGTATTTTGCGTAGACAACTGTTAATAAACACTTGTATCATCTAGATGATGGCTTTCGTAGGTCTCCAGGTTTCCGCCCTATACAGTAGAACTGTCTTGACATTTGTATCGAAAATCCTGACCTTGGTGTTGGTTGACAGTTGTTTTGAGTTCCAGATGTTCTTCAGTTGTAGATATACTGCTCTTGCTTTGCCGATCCGCGCCTTCATATCTGCATCAGATCCACCGTGTTCATCAACTATGCTGCCCAGATATATAAAGATTTTTATATCCTCCAAATCTTCTCTGTCAAGTGTGGTTCGATTGTTGCATGCCGTATTGTATCGGAGAATCTTGCTCTTCCCTTTGTGTATGTTGAGACATACTGCTACTGAGCCTGCTGCTACACTGGTCGTATTCTCCTGCATTTGTTGTTGCGTGTGCGATAGAAGAGCCAGATCATCTGCGAAATCTAGATCGTCCAACTGCATCCTAGCTGTACACTGTATCCCATGCTTCTCCCAGATGTTGATGTCTTCATGATCTAGTCAATCACCAGGTACTCATCAATAAATAACTAAGAAATATTTAAGCTACATTCATGAACATTTCCAGTTTTTTTTAGCATAATTATTTTGTGATTATTAACTTTCCGTTTAATGTTCAATTTATTCGAAACGATCAGGTTCAACTTAAGCATTGGTACCTATGAACATTTTAAAATTCACCAGATTTTGTTGAAACTAAGAGGTAAGTAAAATGAAATCAGTAATTATTACTTAATACATGATTAATACAGACAATTTGGTTCTGGAAGAAATCGATTATGGTAAGGATACATAAGTATTAAAGTTTATCGTTGATTCATGACAGACTGTTACATCGATTGGAATTTTTAAGTGATCACCACGTAAAAAATTGTAAGAAAACAGATTTCTCATCAGAAAAACTAAACTATTTAACAGGCAGATATTGATTAAGAGATTATATTGAGTTTAGCAAACCTGATATCAAACATAGTAAATTGAAGGTTATAATATTTTGGGTAGCCAGGTTGTATGACACATATATGGCCTATATCGTTATAAACTATCGGTTTATGCATATTCATGGAATTGGATTTGAACTCTTGACCAAATATTTCCATAATTTACAAAAGAATATATGAGAATTCCTATTTAGAATAAAGTTTGTTACGAGGCGACCCAGTTCATATATTCATCTATTGGGAATAACATAAACTATATGATGGTTAGATGGAAACAGCAGATTCAACCAGGTTATTCAATGTGATATTGCTGAAGTTGGTTTCAAACTGTATCGAAAAATGTGTGTTGAGTATCTAGACTAGTAAAAAATAATTCTATTACATTAAAATTAGTTCTAATGTACAAAGAAGGCATCTTGCGATTGTTAATTTTTATTTTCCGACTTATTCCTTTTAAAAAATTATCGATCAAGTCGATATGTCTACAAGGATAATTAGAGATATTTACACAATAACCGAATAATCATCTAAAAGCTTTTCTTACTATTTAGATTTAAGGTTAAATTCTCTTCTTCAATACACGATTAGAAGATATAATTTATCTATTTAAACATTTTTAAAACTGTAACGAAGGTAGAAACATAAACATTCAGGGTTTCTTATATGAACTCTAAGAGCTTTGCAATGTACACTTTGATGTGTTTTTTTACCTGAATGATCTGATGACCAATTTATCAACAGTTCTCCTAAACATGATCATCAACATAAACCGTGGTTGTAATAATATATTGAAATTGAATTCTTCGGAAAATTACTGTCTACATAAACAGAACCCACCATAAACAAACGTAGATAAGTATGTAATGAGATTTATGATTCATTTAATAAGGCTCTCATTCTTTTTAGTCTTGGTTTTAACCATGTTACTGCATAATATACAATAGAATAGATTCAATCCTAATAGTTGGAACTTAACATTAATAATATTAAAAAAATTGATCATTTCGTAGTAGCCGTGACCAGTGGAGCTAATCCGTGTTGGGTAGATACAGGTATTTACCTCAGTACAATGGAAGATGGTCGCGCAATTTCGTGGATTGGTTGAGGTTAGACATTAACACCGTTGGATGCCGGCTCAGTGGTCCAGTAGGTTAAACGTTTCGCGCGAGACTGAAGGCCCTGGATTTGAATCCCACGAGCGGGATCGTGGATGCGCACTGCCGAGGCGTCCCACAATAGAACGAGACGGCCGTCCAGTGCTTCCAGATTTTCAATGATGGTCTAACACCAATCGGCTCATGATCTCAATCAAAAACATTTTGTAGTGGTTCAACTTATTCTTTAATCGAATGACTTTCAATGAACATACTAAATATTCCAAGCAATATACACATCTATTCTTGATTACATTTTTTTAAATATTCCAATCAAAATATTCTTGCAAACATTAATCGTCTACATAAATAACCAGACATGTTAGGCAAATTTTTGATTAAGTTATTATAACTTGAGTTTTGAAAACTTTATAAAATAAAGAAAATTGAACTAACAATAAAGAGACGACAATGATGATGATGATTTGCAAATGAGTCATAATACATCTCTATCTACCTACCTACCTACCTACCGGTTAAGTGTTGAAAAAAAAGTGTCTGACCATGTGTCTCACGTGATTATCTAGGTGTCTAAAAATTAGGTTAGTTGTCTATATGTATGCATATTAGGTATATATATACACACAAACAATAATAAATGTATGTGACCTTGAGAGATAATAAAGACTAGAGATAGTCATTTATTATTTGCTTGAATGATTGTCTTGTTTTAAATAAGAGCAATATGGTATGTAAGCGCATTTGACTGAATCAAAGGCCTAGATTTCGACATTAATATTATATCAAGAGAAGGAAATAATGTTTAATTTAGTAGGGAAAAACTGTTTCTTTCTCTCTTATTTGCAATATTGAGATAGGAGTAAACTAAATAGGTTTTATTTTCCAATAATATTACACGATATACATATCTAACTTTGGATATCGGTTTTATGCTTATCAAGCAGCGACATATGTTACAGATATCTTGATGATTAATGCTGATAAGTAGATTAAGAGAATATTAGAAGCGACCAAACCAAGATATGACAACAATTTCTTAAGACAAAAATTGTCGAACCCAGTCATTTTGGTAAATGTAAACATTCACATAGTAGACTTCAATAAAAGAATATGCAAAAGGATAAGTGAAAAATGTACGGAACATAACATCAATAAGCTAAATCAATAAAAAGGGGTGCATATTAATGAAAGTGATCGAATAATAAGTGACTAGTTGTTCATTTTGAAATAAATTATAATTAGGTATTGAGTGACAAATGCAAGTGATAGAAAATGTAAAAATATTAGACTAAATTACAATCAATTAATTGTAACGAAAGTGATCATATTTTTTTTAGAAATTTGTATCTAATTGTTTTACAAATAAATCTGATACTAGTTCAAAATGATACAATTATATGTAAAGGCAACGAACTCTATTCCAGATCATAATTTTTTACACTATATACAATATATAAAAAGTAATAAACATGGCAAGTTTCGATTGTGAATGGTTAAACCTTCAGAAAACAGAGAGTAATTAACGACAAGAACATTTGGAGATGTGAGAAATATCGTACAGTGAAGTGTAGATCATGCTATCATACAAAGTATGTAGTTATTATAAAGTTATTAGCCAAAGGGAAATTTTTTTGTTCTAGACAATACATTAGATAGATATAAAACAATTAACAAAATAAAAGTTTAAACAGCTTCATCAACAGAAACGATAAATCAAATCCTAGCTATTGTATCTGCCGATTTATCTCATATAGTGTCAGCTCAACTTCATCTATGATCTAGGGTGAAACAGACAAGTCAGCGTATATATGACCATTATGCAACCTTACTAAATCTATGTTCACTGAATGCATTGAACTTAACGTCTGAATATCCTGCTTCGGTTTGGGCACCCGGGCAGTATCACAGCCCTCACACATATCGGATGAGATTTGTGTGGCGCATATGTATTTGGTGCCTCTTTGTACCATTATCTATGTGTTGAAATAAATAAATAAATAAAACGTCTGAATATAAGACTGCTGCGAGAGAAGAGAATTTTCTTCTGTGACACTAGAAAAGGTATGTCGATGGAATATTTAAGACATTGCCATCTTGGTCTAATCAAATCCACACAATTCATGCTATAAGACTCAATACAATTATTTCATTTGTTTACATTCTAAGCTATGACAAAAGTACGAATTCGTATGTGCACACCTTCAGCAAATCAAATGAACTGTGCCCGACTTTAAATTCACCAACTATCATAACTGATTATGAACATTTAGCAGTATCAGTATTTAATAAGTATATCCAAATATAGTGTACAATAAGGTTGGTTATTCAATATGAGTTAATTTTTGTAGACGAGACTACAGTAAAAGATAAATCAATAAGCAGCACTAAACTTTTTACCGGACGCAGATTATCGTAATTGAATTTAACGATCAAGTAGTCACTATTTTGCGTCAACAATTAAAAATAAACCAAAATATTCACAAATTATTTAGAAGACATCTGAATCTGGTGACCAACCAGATTTGGAGGCAATAGAGGTTTAATTTTTAAGATTGTACTGTGAAATGTCCACAGTTCGGTAATGGAGGGTTTTCCTAAGGATTCAGGAACAGTATATAAAAAGGAAATAAAAGGAGATGGCAGTATGTATCAAAGTGGTTATCGAAAATTATGGAAACAGATCGATCACACACGCAGAATAGCACACTGTTTAAATTTGTACATATAGACATTAAATTTTCCAATACAGGTAACATATACAGCTACATTTCGTTAGTAAATCACCCTTTCGATGCTCGAGCTTAATTGATTCTATCTAGTCAGTTAATATAGTAGTGACAACATTTTATTTTATTATTAAATCAACCTTTTGAGCGCACCTTTATTAAAGCGTAACTGAGACAGAACAACATCGAATAGTAATCAGTGATTGATTAATACACATAAAAGTTTACAGGTAAAAAGCTTAATTGTATGATCCATATTTAAACCAAACATCATAGAATTGACTTACCTGCCCCGGCAAATCAAATATTAAATAAATTTTCGGATCTTTCTGTTTTAATAAAGCTAGTTGATTCGCTAGCCAAGATCGATTCGTGTATAAATATTCCATACAATAAATTAGCCCACCATTTGGACCTAAGCCAAGATAATCCATAACCTCGTCGAGACAAATTAAATCAGCCATATTAATGGCACATGGATAAGGTAAGCTATCGTTGGCTGGATCCAAATTGATGACAGCAACTTTTCGACCTGTATATATATATATATATACATATGTAATTTTTGGAATAAAAAATTCAATGTATTTAGAAATAAAATTACCAATTATGATAGTTGCATATTATGTCAACTAAGATAAAAATGAACAATTTCTTAATGAAAATTAAGAGACTGATGATGATTTAGTACACTGTAATTTAACGTAATCTAAATTCAACTTAATTCATTCTATAGGAAATAATTCATGTAAATTTCTAACCTCAGTGATAGTATGATTCAGTAATTAACAAAACATCAATTTAGAATATTGATAAGTGATTGATGGTTTAAAGTACAACCGTTGACAATGATTTATATCACTTTTATACCTTAATATGATTGGTGATAACTGAGTCATTTTAAACCTATTACTATTAGTTGTCTTTAATTTGACTTTGATTTTTCATATCAATCAGTCAGTAACAATGTAGAACTTCGTACGTACGTACATCAGTTCGAGTTGCCACATCACATTAGCACAGAAATGCAGTTGTCGACTCAAATTCCGTAGTGGTAGAGGTAGTAAGAGTATAAGCAGTAATCGGAAATATTAGGGCTTGAAGATGTTAGTCACGGAGTATAATACAGTGAAATAAATTTGGAAAGAAAATAAGGGACATGAAGAATTCAGAAGATTAGAATTTGGGAGAACACAAAGAACGGATGCACTTGCGCCATTGCAAACGATTTTAAGCCATGTCATTCATATAGTTTTCATATAGTATTTTTTAGAAAAATATAATCCTTAGTTACTTATTTATTCATTTAATCGATTTTCTCTATTGTTTTACTGTTTTAAAGCCGTAATTGATTAATTGGACGAACATATTTCCAAGCTTAGTATAAAGATTTACAGATTTTCATTTAAATATTACTCTATCCAGATTGATAATTTTTATTGAAAGGAATTTTTAGAGTTACGAGGTTTATAGTCCATTAAAAAAATAATGACAATCAAAGTATCTAGGATGAAGATGAGGTACATGATCAGATTTTATCAATAGAAATACTTCTTATGAATAATCTACGAAATTAACATACAAATATTACTGGAATTAACAATAACTGGTCAATCAGTGAGAAACGACTATATATACTAAGATTTCAAAGGTCAGATATCAGGATTATTAGCCTCTAAATAATGATTGTGGATAAAGTGTAGTATAAAGTAGCTGAGTTTTGTTCATTTCAAAGGAAAATCTATGATTAAAAACAAAGTATCCTAGTCGGTAATATATAGTAACAACTATGCAAGAATTTCATGTATAGTAGATATTCGACTTTGTAATCCAAGAAAGTTTTATAAAAATTCTCAGTCTAAAATGATAAACAAGTGAAGCTCAGTCGATGTTTTACAGCAGTTTCCATGACAACTGTAGGAATATTTGAGCTGAATGTACTGATGAAATGGATAAATAGTTAGGTATTTGTAGTAAAGATTAAATATTCCCGGATAGAATATAGAGTAATGGTTCAGTGGTCAAGGCGCTCAACTTTCAATTACTACGCCACAGGTTCAATCTCTATTCCACCTACTCTAGTTTGGGCAACAGGGAAGTACCAATAGTCCTGACATTTAGAGTGTGGCTTGAAGTCAAGTACGTCAATCTATATCTGGTAAATAACCTAAATAAATAAAACAATGCGCTGACTGTCGACAATAGGTGGTTAGTTGGTTGACATCAATATGTAACGAAGACCTAGTATTTATAAATCCATTTTAAAATTATGTTATGGAGTTTCAGATCGCTTCGTAAATTCCTCCATATAAATCTAAATTATTTAAAAAGTGAAAATAAACTAACAACCATGGGTTGATTTATCATAGTACATCGACTTACGCTTTTATAACTCCTAGTTACACAAGAAAAAAAACATACTACTTAATTTCAAATACAGTAAGATAGTAAATTATGCGAAATATATTATGGTAATACAAGGCATGGTGTTAAGTGTGGGAGCTGTCTGCATTTGGCGTTTAAAATATACATTTTGAAAAGTGTACCAGGTGAATAAACACAAACATACATAACTCAGATGAATATAAATTAACAATTCTGTCCAGGAGACAGTAAATAGATCAGTAGTTAAGAAATTATCCACAAAAATGTTGAGTGTGACCAGCCTCAAGCAGTTGTTTCTTGGGCATTGCGGTCACGCTCTCAGGTCATTAAGACCAACTCTAATCCAATTTTCTTTTCAGATACCGCTAGATGAACCCTTACACAGTAAGGGCAACCGGTAGGTGACAACCGCCTTTATACCTAACAGACCACTCAAGACCACTGATATTCCATTCTCCATGTGTCACTGAGCTGTAATTTGAGGATGATGGCAGATAGTTCCGTATACATATTGCTGACAAATCAGTGAGTAAGACAGAATTCAAGCTAGCGATTTATTAATTTGAAATTCTGGTAATACAGCACTTGAAAGAATATTGAGTTTCAAGAGCACATAAACAAACAGTATATTAAATAGTGAGAAATCGTTGGGAGCACTGGAGGAGGTTCGTAGATTACACCACAAACTAACTTCAGATGGAAATCCATTGAAAACCAAAGAAGCAGTGGGGGAATGTTAGGGATTACTCCTCATCAGTGCACTTTCACAACCTCATTCGCCCCAGGACTTTGATTCATTCAATTACTGATGTAAATTAATAAATACCATAATGATTGCATCAACCTAAAAGAATCGTGGACATAACACTGACCTAATTTTACAAGAAAATCATGCATTGCAGCACAGTATGTGGTTTTCCCACTACCAGGAGGTCCGATCACCAACTGTCCAAATAAATGTAGACCATTGGGGAATGGGTACGGTTTAGAGTCAACTGACATCATCACATAATCAACACTGATTTGAGTTTGATCACTAGAAGTATGATAGTATCTGAAAGAATAAAGACAAAGAACTAAGTATCAATTAATTAGTAAACACTAAATATGTAGGCAGCAAAGCGCCATTAATGTGTCGAAGATCGGTTACAACAGTATGAAGCATAGGAATTACAACATTCATTAACCATGCACACAATAAAACACTAAGGATATAGTTACTTCACTTCGTAAGGTCAGATATGTTTATTTACAGACTGTACTAGTCTGGAAGAAATGCATACATGCAACAGTGCTACGGAGATCCTATCACATTTGGATTCATGTCTATCTACGATTCCTGAAAATATTTAAGTAGATTCAATCTACTGGTTAACAATGATCAGGTCGATCAGTTACATGACGAGAGCTTATTCTGATAGAAAATTCAATGGAGATCTGTATGCAAATGTAAAACACCAATGAGCAACCGAGTCATCAGAATAGATTGACATAAGAATTTCGTGGAAACTTTCGACTCTATTTAAAGTAGGGAGTGTGATGACGCTGCTCTGTGGGACCATGAAAGTGGTTAAAATAAAATGTAGGAACTATAAAATCAGAAAATCCAAGCGGAACAAAAAGTAATTTTCAAATGATGAGGTAATAAAACAAAATCAATCGACTCTCAGTTGGAAAGCCAGCAATGAGTGATATACTACTTGTCTTGCGAATTCTTCAACTGTCACCTATTTGGTAATTTCGATTTACAAACTAGGTTGGGGCTCATAAATTCAATTGCGCAATGATATCTAAATATATTACTTATGAGTAGCTACTGTTACGGTGGATAATCTTCTCGAAACACGTCCTATTGGTCAACTAACATTTAACCCGGCATGTGAAACTATCTACTATTCCTTCCTTGTCTGTGCTTAATGCTGAGTGTTTGTTACTGATTTCATCATCTGAAATGTAAATTTTTACTCTATACTGATCATAAAATGTAGAACCATAATGTTGGGATGATCCAGAAAACTTCTTCCAGAAGCCAGGAGAGGTTCAGGAAACACTAAGAAGCATTTTATCCAACAGCGTTCACTAGAAGTTTAGCCAGAAACATCAAGAAGATGAAAAGTCACATGTAGAGTTCCTGAGTGGCTGACTACTATACTGCTACTATGTTTATTGGCATTCCAGAATTTTCGGGAAACCCAAGGATATCTAAAATACTATAAAAAACCTATATTTTCTGTACTAAAACGAACCTTTGGAGTAAAGTGCTTCTCGCATATTTTGCGCCTTTCTTCTCGTGTTCATGTCGCTGTGTAGTTCTAGCTTGGGGGTTACGAGAATAGCTTTAGAACTGAATATAGAGTTCAATTAGCAAGACTTATCACATAAATGTATACAACTACACAAAATAAAGACTGTCTTCTGACGTTATCCAACCTTGAGTGCATTTATTCAGATGAAAATGACAACTAAACCATGGTTTAGTGTCATTAATTTCCAACGTTTTAATCATTTTCAATGCTACTATTCATACAGAAAAAAAACCATGCAAATTTGTTTTGTCAACTTAAAATGTCTCCTAAAAATCATGAGTTTACAATTTAATTTTCTACTCCCACTAAATAAATTCGTAACGCCCCATACTCTTCTAATAGTTACAAATGACAGCAGTTCTTTGAAAGAATCTCATCATCTACCCTTTCAGACTATATTTCTTAAATATATATTAAGATAGTAATGTTTTGTATACTAATTCAATACTTTTAAAAAGACAATTTTAAAGAACCAAGAGTGATATGAGATCGTAAGTGGAACTCAGACTTTTGTTAGTCACTTCACTAGGATAGATGAAATTACCATAGCATGTGCGAAATAGTCAACAATTTCAATGATTTTATACTAGTTGAGTAAAGTTTCATATAAATGCTGACTAATTCTGCATTTATTCAATAGATGAATGGTGTATATTGTAAGATTTTCACTTAGAATGTACAAATTCCATAGTTAACATTATGAATTTACCGTCTAGACAACGTTGCGAACTGAAAATCGCTAGAAAGTTGTCTTATTCTAGTATTTATGTTTCCTCTCAGCAACGGACGCTGTGGATTGAACAACATAGGACTTTTAGGTTACTCGGTATTTCATACTAAGATGAAACAGATTTTCTGTGTAAGTTGGTTTTAAATAGTTGTCCAACTGAAGTTAGTCTCTAACATGCACTGAAGAGAGATCAGTCTCAACGAACTTGGTGATGATGTACTATTTACATATAAAATAAATAAATCGAAATCTGTGAGAAGAGCATTAGTTCTTGAAAGGTTGAAATAAAACAGATAATGAAGACTGCTTGTAAAATTACCGTGCGAAACAACATACACATTTATTTAGTGATAACAAAAAGAAATGATAGTAGAAACATACATATATATTGACAATTGATCAGAGTATATTTACAAAACTGCAATATGAACATCAATACACTATTATTCTGCAAACGGATTAGCATGGATTGTTATATTTTGTATATGAATGTCTGTTAAAGGTTTATAAGTTTTTTCTTCAACAGGGGAACGCTCTAATTCATCCAAAACATCCCACCCATCAATTACTCTGAGCAATAAGTAAACACAATAGCAATAACAGTAATAGCTTTAATTACAAAATATTACATGATTGTTCGCATGTATATAAAGATAACACTTCAAGGAAACACATAAACACAATTTACTAAATACTTCCATCCAATAAATTTAAGATATATTCTAAACATAATACAACTCCAGTAAAGGCACTTGACAACAAAAAGACAGGTGATTCTACAGGTTACACCCCCAAATGCCCTGACACGACCGAGAGTGGGGAGAGTCAGCTCTCCCTCTCGAAATGCTCTCACATGACCACGCGTATATAGTCTCTGCCAGGGAAGTCCTACTCAATACCTTCTCACGGTGGGAGTGTTTACGAAATTGAGAGGACGAAAAGCGAATGTCCGGCACTTTAACCGGGTTGGTCAGTACGGAGGATCCACCTAGGGGATTTAGAAAACCCCGATTCCGAACCAATGGAGCACATGGGCTCCAGTATCCTGAGGGAACAAATGGCATATGAACCTGTTGTTGGTCACTAGTTACTATGGGACTGCATTCTTTTACGTTGCTCCACTACCCTGTGGATTAGACCTTTAGGTCAAATGCTCGGGTGTGGCCTCCCAAGGAAACCACCTGTTTCGGTTTGGGCACCCGGACAGTATCCCAGCCGTCACACAGACCGAATGATTTATGTGGCGCATATCTATTTAGTGCCTCCTTGTACCAATGTTTGTGTTTAAATACATAAATAAAATAAATCTACAGACTACAGCTTTGGATTTGAAATAGATGTTTAAATGACGTCACTTCAGAATGTGAATCGAACTATTTTCAATACTAATTTAATATTTAATTTACAGTGAAGTTGAACTAATTCTTTTGGTCATTTTATAACAAACTTTGATCTTGATAAACCAAGAGTTATTGAAAACAAAGTGAATAAAATGCTTATATTAGAATAAATTGTGGAGGTTGACGAAACCATTTGGTGGAATTCGAACTTGTGACCTTAGTTGAAAGCTCAGTTGCTTTAATCATCAAGTCACTGGTCACGTGTAACATAAAATAAATAACTGATTACTTCTATGCATGGATAATAATCAGTCAGTCAGTCAGTAACAACGTAGAACTTCGTACGTACATACATCAGTTCGAGTTGCCACACCACCTTAACACAGAGATGCATTTGTCGATCCAAATCCCGTAGTGGTAGAGGTAGCAAGAGTGTAAGCAGTGATCGGGAAGATTAGGGTTTGGAGATGTTATTTAAAGAGTATAATTCAGTGAAATAAATTTGGAAACAGGAAAAAAGGGACATGAAGAATTCAGAAGATTAGAATTTGGGAGAACACAAAGAGTGGATGCACCTGCGCCATTGCAAACGATTTTGATCCATGTCATCGGTTGCTATCATCTCGCGGTCCCCAACCAGGTAGTCTACACCTATCAACATGACTCAGTCCACTTGCCAGTGACTTTATGGATTTGTGCCATGTTTTGGTCTGGCCGCCCCTAGCTTTCTTTCAACCTATTCCTACACCATAAAACATCGCACGTTGAGGCAGTTGGTCGTTGGGCATACGTAACACGTGTCCCAGCCATCTCAACTGATGAAGTTTCACTACTTCATCAATTGATTTGCTATCCTTACCTAGTACCCGTTTCCTAACAACTGCATCACTTACTCGATGGTCCCAGGATATACGAGCAATATTTCGAAGACACCTATGATCAAATACTAGTAACCTACGGATATCCTCCACTCTTACCGGCCATGTTTCACTGCCATCAAGCAGGACGGGACGAACTGCTGCGCAGTAAACACGTCCTTTGGTTGATAGACGGATATCTCGCCTACGCCATAAATGACGCAAGTTGGCAAAAGCTAGTCGAGCCTTCCATATCCGTGCTGAGATTTCGTCACACACCAGACCACAAGGGCTGATGAGACTTCCAAGATAAGTGAAGCGGTCGACACACTCAACTACTTCACTCCCTATCACTAGTTCGGGTGTCGATGTAACCCAATCCTGAAGCAACATTTTGCATTTCGAGGGAGAGAATCGCATCCCGAACATGCTTGCATTGTTGCTTAGAGTGGTCAGAAGACTCTGCATTTTGTCAGCGTCTTCACCAAATAAAACTATGTCATCAGCATATTCTAAGTCAACAAGTGAACCTCCCGGTAGAAGTTCAACCCCTGGAAATTTAGATGAGGAGAGTGTTATCTCTAAAAGTACGTCGACCACAAAGTTGAACAAGAATGGAGAGAGCGGACAGCCCTGACGAACACCACTTGATGTAATCAATTCTGATGACAGTTCGCCATAAGCTCTCACTCTGCCAGTTGTGTTCGAGTAGAGAGCCTGAATAAGGTTAATGTACTTCTTTGGTGCTCCTTTCAGTGACAAATACTGCCATAGAACCTCACGATCAACAGAGTCGAATGCTGCCTTATGGTCGAGAAATACTATCATTGTGGGGCGTCTAAACGTGTGTCTGTGTTCTAGAACCTGACGTAGTGTGAATATTTGGTCTATACAACCACGTCCAGGTCGAAAACCAGCCTGATTTTCTCTAGTCTGTTCTTCACGAGCTTTGGTTAGGCGTCGAAGTATTATTGAAGCTAATATTTTAGACACTATATTAGTCAAACTGATTCCTCTGTGATTGTCACAAGAGGACTTTTGTCCTTTCTTATAGACTGGCACAATCAGTGATTGAGACCAGTCAGATGGGATTACGTCCAGTTCCCAAATTTACCTAAGACCTCGGTTAATCTCATTGCTAATACTGGACCACCATCCTTAAAAATCTCAGGAGTAAATCTGTCAGGGCCTGCTGCTCTCCCTCGTTTCAGATTTCCTATGACTTTTTCAACTTCGTTAAGAGACGGAGGACCTGCATTAACTTGCCATTCAGGTTGACTGGGGATCGTGGGAAACCGAAGTGTGCCTGAAGGCCAGTTGAACTGATCCCTGAAGTGTTCTGCCCATCGATCCAATATCCTGGATTGGGAATGAATAATATGTCTATCTTTCTCTGAGATTGTTTCGCTAACGGTCGGGTTCCTAATTCCGGTTTCCTTAACGAGTCTGAACAATTGTCTGCTATTACCTATTGCCGCTGCCTTCTCCATCTCTCTTGCTTTCGCTACCCACCACTGTTCACGATCATTGCGTAGACTTCTTGTCAGCTTGCGCTTAAGGTGACTCCACTCTTCATTATGTTCAGAGCCAGGTGGAGTGAGTTTCCGAGCATCTACCAGTGCGATAGATGCTGCTGAGATCCAGTGTCGTTCCCTAACCTTACGGTTTACCGTACTAGCAGATATCAGTGCTGTTTCCCTAGCTTTACGGATATAATTTCATGCTGCCTCGAGGTGAGCATCATATACATGGCTACCTAACTGTTTTCCTAGTTGTTCCTGAAATATACTCTTAGCTTGACTATCATTAAGTAGGCCCCTAAGAGGTTTCCTTGCAGCGTCTTTCCTACGTCCAGTAAGACGCAAGCAAATACGCGCTCGCACTAGAGCATGATCTGAATCGAAGCATGTGCTCCAGAATGAGCGACAGTCTTCTATCGAGCCCCTCCATCTGTGGCTGATGGCGATGTGATCTATTTGGGTTCAACGTTGGGACGAATTAGGGGGTCGCCATGATAAAAGATGTTTTTCCTTATGCTTAAAGTTAGTATTTGCAAGGAACAGGCGGTTATCTGAGCATAGCTGCAACAGACGGTCGCCATTATCTGTTCTTTGAGCCACGACACCATAAGATCCACCTAGGTGTCTTTCCTTATCGCTTAGTTTACCTACTTGAGCATTAAAGTCACCGGCCAATATTACTACATCCGAGCGCCTAGCTTTTCGGAGTAGGTTAGAGAGCTTTCTGTAAAACTCATCTTTTACAGCATCTGAACTGCAGTCAGTGGGAGAATAGGCAGAGACGACGAAGAGGCAACGACGAGTGTCCCTATCTTTTCGGATCCTTACTGTTCCGTTTAGTCGGACAGAGCACAAACGGCTGTCTACTGGGATCCACTCTAAGAGAGCTAATTCTGCTCTGGGACTCAATGCTATACCTACGCCGGCGAGTCCACGGGAAGCAGAATCAGGGCTTCCAGATACACAAAGCGTAAATCGAGTCGGTTCTTTATTTTGGCATGGTGAGGTCAAATGAATGACGCTACTCGGATCCTGTATGCGCGTTTCGGAGACGCAGCACACATCGATGGCGCGAGATTCTAAAGTCCTAGCTAAGGAAGCCTGCTGTCCTATTTGGCACAGTGTTCGTACGTTAAAAGCTCCTACGTGTAGTTTAGAGCGTGGTTTCAGGAGACCAGGAATAGAGTTCCACGTACTCGAATCGTTTGCCCTAGCGGTGCGGGGTGATAAAGAGACATGTAGAGGGTTAGTCATGGAGATAAGAGAGGTATTAGGAGGTGTAGGAAGGATTTGAATGTGACCAACTTGGTCTCGTGTGCTGTTACGGGTATGAGGGCTGATGTCACTTCCCGGCTGCCCACACCGTGGAAGGGTATTTCTTGAGGAATCTGAAAAGGAAATTGGATTAGGGTTGGTCTTGACGACCTGGGAGCGTGACCGCAGAGCCCAAGGGACAACTGCTTGAGGCCGGTCGCGCACGGCCTTTTTGTGACAGGTTTTTAATGTGTTAGCTCCGTTCTTCAAAGAGCCTTACCGCCGGAGACGGAAATCTGTGAGGTAAGGTGAGGTGTGACATTTTTAGGGTCGACCTTTTCTAACCCCACCCCTCCTTGTGGGAAGGCAGCATCGCTGCAGATGCTGGTTGTCTGAGAGAAACACCTTACTGCTGTCACACCTCTCTACAGTCAGCAGTACGACTTCACCCTCAGACCTTGAGTTGCTGCTTTTAGTCTTACCGTTCACCAATCGACCTGCCTGGCATGGTAGAACCTACAGGAACATATGTTCCAGCCAATATAGCTCAGTTGGGTCATCACGATAGGCAAGCCCGACCACCGCGTCAAGGTAGCAGCTTCAGTCGGGATGGATAATAATAATAAACATAATGATGTTAGAAATCAGTCAACTATTTAAATGTGGAATTTTTTCAGTTAAATAATTAACTAGAGTATCAGAACACTTTAATTAAATCTGATTTGCATTGATCACCAGGATATACAGGATTACAAGTAAATAATATGAAAGAGGATAATTTCTTAAGTATAGTGAAAAAGATTACAGGATAGTTCGTTCATAAGGACTGCCTGATATATTAGAACTACACAGATGCATACCTTATTTGGCATATCTTAGAATCTTTCACAATGGCGCCATAAACAGAAAGAAATGAACACTTTAAATTCCATTATTAGGAAGGACCAAACAATCCAACTAGATAGCAATATTAATACTAGACATGTTCGAAATATTGGATCAATAATAAGTAGTTTTACCATAATTTTTTCCGACTGATCTTTTAGCAAAGTGGTTAACGGATATAAATCAAAGTGACTATTAAGTATTGCATATACATCGCGGTAGGATGAAAAACAATGTGAAAATGGACTCAAAGCAGCCATATCAAAGTGTAATAACGAACAACAGGTTTTTTAAAGTTTCACGACAGTAAGAAAATTTATGTGAAGTTGTCTAAGGTTGGTTTTGATATTTCGATTGAACTCACTTTCTTTGGCACTGAATTCCACATTTGACATGGATTCGGAAAACTCGATTGGCTCTTGCCCACTTTATCACGTAGAAATTCCTATTTGCTAACCAAAAAAGGAGTATACTGGATGACAATTCGCTCTGTGTTGTAATATAACTGTGAAACAAGACTTACGACATATTATTTACTTACGCCTGTTACTCGTAGGAGCATAGGCTGCCCTGTCTTGGGCAATCCTTTCCAGTTGCTATTGATCCTTTCCATGTCTGCTTCTGATTCCCGGCGTAGTGCGTTCTTCGACCTTCATCTTCCTCTTTTCCCTTCAAGGTTTCAAGTTAGCGCTTGCTTCGTGATGCAGCTTGATGATTTCCGTAATGTATGTCCTATCCACTTCCAACGTCTTTCCCTAATTTCTTCTTCAGCTGGAGGTTGGTTTGTCCTCTCTCACAGTAGGGAGTTGCTGATGATTGTCTGACCAACGGATATTGAGTATCTCGCTCACACAACTGTTTATAAATACTTGTACTCTTTTGATGATGATTGTAGCAGTTCGCCATGTTTCAGTTCCGTACAATGGAACTGTCTTGACGTTAGCATTGAAGATTCTGACTTGCATTGACTGACAGTTGTCTTGAGTTACATATGTTCTTGAATTGTAGGAATGCGACCCTTGCTTTGCCAATCCTCACCTTTACGTCTGCCTCGAGGTTTTCATAATCCAGTCGACTAGCAGAAGAAAGAGGAAGGGATAAAGTAAGCAATCTTGTCTGAAACTCGTCCTTACTTGTAATGTGTCTGTCAACTGTTCCTCATGCACCACTTTGCACTGCATTCCGTTTCATGAATTCCAGATGATGTTGACGATCTTCTCACGTACACTATAGTGTCGAAGAAGGCTCCATAATGCTCTCCTGTCCGCACTGTCAAACGCCTTCTCATAGTCAATGAATTTGACGTATAGTGACGAGTATCATTCAACTGGTTGTTCATCGATGATCCGTAGTGTTGCAATTTCGTCTGGCACGACGGTCCTTGTGGAATCCAGAGTGTTGATCTCGAAGTGCGGCGTCTCCTGCATCTTTCGTACAGTTCGGAAACTGTTGAAAACTTTTCATGGTACTGACAGTAGTGTAATTCCTCTGTAGTTCTTACACTCGCTGAGATCTTTCTTTGGTATCTTGATGAGGTGTCCTTCTTTCCAGTTCGCCGGTACTTTCAGTAGATCCTGTAAGGCTTGGAACCTGTTGTTTAGAGTTATCTTGAATTCGTTGAGTTTGTTAGTATCTCGCAGGAAGGCTGTATTGAACCTTTGTACTACTGTTTCCTCAGCTGTTCAGTGTTTCTTTAGCTTCAGTTTCATCTTGGCAACCAACGGGTGGTGATCTGGAGCTATGTCAGCTCCTCTCCTGTTTCTCACGTCTTTTATTGTCCCTCTGAAATTTTTACTGATGCAAATGTGATCTGTCTGGTTTTCCGTGGTGTGATCCGGTGAGACCCATGTAGCTTTGTGTATGCGTTTGTGTGGGAATATTGTGCCACATATGACCAAATTTTTGAAGCACCATGGCAACTCCGAGTGTGTGGAGCATTTCCCTTCGTGACCGGAGTACAGCATCTCTCCCGTATCTAGCTTTTACTTTCCAGCTTGAATCGAATGGGTTTAAGCTGATTCCGAATACTATCAAGTTACCTCTTCATTTCCGTTGCTATTTGACTAGACATCCCAGTCTCCCACATTGTCCGGGCTTCCCATGTACCTACGAAAGTTGTTGCTCTGGTTGTTAGAAGAGGCATCAACCTCGTGACTTCCGAAGAATCTCGATTTTTATCCTGTGGTGTAATAAATCTTCCTTCAACTCCCAGGGCAGAGTTTTAGTTATTTAAACACAAACATTGGTACAAGGAGGCACTAAATAGATATGCGCCACATAAATCATTCGGTCTGTGTGACGGCTGGGATACTGTCCGGGTGCCCAAACCGAAACAGGTGGTTTCCTTGGGAGGCCACACCCGAGCATTTGACCTAAAGGTCTAATCCACAGGGTAGTGGAGCAACGTAAAAGAATGCAGTCCCATAGTAACTAGTGACCAACAACAGGTTCATATGCCATTTGTTCCCTCAGGATACTGGAGCCCATGTGCTCCATTGGTTCGGAATCGGGGTTTTCTAAATCCCCTAGGTGGATCCTCCGTACTGACCAACCCGGTTAAAGTGCCGGACATTCGCTTTTCGTCCTCTCAATTTCGTAAACACTCCCACCGTGAGAAGGTATTGAGTAGGACTTCCCTGGCAGAGACTATATACGCGTGGTCATGTGAGAGCATTTCGAGAGGGAGAGTTGACTCTCCCCACTCTCGGTCGTACCAGAGCATTTGGGGGCAGGGCAGAGTTTAAATGACTTAATTTGTCTAATCTGGTTAGCGTTTTCTTAGCAATATTTTTTTCTACGGTATGGGGTTGCTGACTTTATGCCCAACCCTCCTTTACCCGGGCTTGGGACCGGCAGCAACTCTAGGATAGGTACATGAGGAGTTTTACGGCATATTACGACCAGTGATTTGAGACGTTGGGTGACGTGACTCAAAATCAGTCAGTGGTACAGATGCCACACACATACTTAGATTTTGAGCTTCTATATTCCTTCATACATAGATTATTTTCGAACAACAATTTCAATATTTAGTTTTCCTTACTATCATTCATACTTCCGTTATTTCGACTTGTTCACTAATCATCTTGTTGGTTTTACCTTGTGCCGATATGGTATGAGGACTTGGGCTAATATATACTTTGTGACAGGATCTACGCCCATTATGACTAATTGAGGAACCCTAATATAGTTATCCTATATTGCAGCTTTTATTTTTAATGATTGTAGTACTTTACGCTAAATTATTAGATAATTGGGAACACAGGCATAAATTACCAGTTGATTTTAGAACAGATAACTAAATTAGGGAACACCTGTATTCAAGCAATCACTAAACAGTAGCTAATGATAAAAATGGTAGGATCGAAGCTTGTTTTAAAATTCACTCACTTTCCGAAAATCGAATATTTCATATCTAACATGGTTTGTTTACTGTAGGTGATGAAAAACTGGGAACCATTAGAATCGGGACCATTATTAGCCATTGACATGATTCCTCGAGCATTATGCTATTGTTAACATAACAACGATTGTTTTGTTGCAAATTACCCTTAATGAGTCATGAAATTCATCTTTGAATCGTTTTTTCCAAATACTCTGTCCATTTTTGCCAGTTCCTTAAAAAACAGGCACATTGAGTTAAAGTTATACATGCATTATTCACCTTACCAGTAGGATCCCCAGTCTGCACTATAAACCCTTTGATATTACGATGAAATATGCAGCCTTTATAATAATCCGAAGCACACAATGCTAAAAAATTCTACAAATTAGGGAAGAGACATATACAAAGATTTACAAAAAACACACGTATGCACAAGCTAGAATCTTATTTATAAATATTTTCCTATAAAAAATATGTTGTCAAAACTAAAAAGATAATTGTATACATGTTAAGACTGAATAGGATCTACCAGATGGTAGTAGTCAGGAACATTTACAAATTTTGATTTGGTACAGTCATCAAAATCAGTCAAAGCAAGAAGACCCCATTTAGAATTTTCATTTTTATTACACTGTATTTTTAAAGTATCCTGTAGTGCACGACATATCTGCACAAAACTTGACCAATGATCCTCATTGATACCAGACCAGATATTACATTGTGGATATGTAGGGTCTGGACAGAGTACATAATGTCTTCTATGAGGTATCACATGATCTGTGTACTCAGTACTAGTAGATTCCAGTCGTGGTGTTAAACAGCCATTACGAAGGTCAATGATTATGTCACATGGTTTAATGCTGCATACATAAACTAAAAAGTTACTCAGTACGTCTTCTATCGATGGAAATGGGTTGAGATCGGGGAAATGAGTGTAAGCAGAAAAAGCACTTGTACTATCCAATGTGATGGAATTTTCAATGAGAGATTGTAGACGAATAAACGAAGGTGCATAATTTGAAACTTGTAAAAAGTTAATAAAGAGTGAAATTAATTTGAAATTAGTAAATCCAGGACTTGGACCATTACGAGTTATACGTAATTCACGAGCAAGATATTTTATGAGAGCTACAGACTTTGGAATTTCAGGGATACATAATGTTAGGAAATGAAGAATTTCAGCCATTTTAGTCCCACAATGTTTTGATTCCCCATTATTCATCGAAGTAGATTTGGTAAGCGATGAAATATCCAATCCAACTTCAAGAACACGAATTTGATCCAAATGAATAATAGGAACTCGACCAGTGTATATTCTTGAGTATTTAAATCCTAATGGATCCAATTTCTTTAACATCATCTGTAGAAAAGATAAGAATCTGTTCTTTAAACAATCTGGATCTAATGATATTATTTTCGTTCGATATAAATCCGATGTCAAATAGTTTGATTTAGTATCACGAAGATACTGTAAATTGTCATAATTCAATGGTAGTTTAACAACAAGGTCTACATCTGAACTAACTGATCCTAAACCATTTAACACAGAGCCAAATATTGAAACTTTTGTCCCACGAAATATGAAACCCAGGATTTCTTCAATACTATCACTTAGAACAAATCTAGCCAAAATATCCAGTTCAGTTAAACGTGTGAGGTGATAAAAAGTGGAAACTTGATCATCAAATGATTGACAAGACATAAGTATACTGGTCATTTCTTTCGAAGACGGGACAGATGGACGGATAGAAAGATTTGCTTTAACACATAATTTCCCAGGATACTGATAAGAAGAATATTTTGCGACATTTTCAACTGGCCAAATAGATGGATCGGAGTTGATGCGAAACATTGGGAGCCTGAACATACTCTTTTTGCTCTCCGAATTTATAGCACAATGTACACAGCGAAATGATGAAATTTTGTGCAAAGTATAGCGTAGAGATTCGGGAGACGAACTTTGAATCAACAAAGTGCCAACTGGTTGAATTTCATTTTTCAATGGCCAGTAAACAGCACGGTTTACTGACCCTCCTATCTTCAGAAACGTATCAATTATATAGGGTACGCTCGCTGGTGAACAGGTCAGTAGGATACTTCTCCTAGCTAAACTTCTGTAGATAGCTGAATTAAGTAGCATAATCACCAACTTGTACTACAGAAAAACTATCAAAAAGACTAACACACTGAAATAATAGTTAACCTTACCTCTGAAGCTAAGGGTGCCTGCATACAAAATAACTCCACTTTTAAATCTCCCAAGTCTGTATGAAGTGTTACTGCCTAAAAATGAGTAGAAACAACAAACAATTGCAAACATTGTTAAGTATCAGGTATGCTAATGACTACAAATTAATTATAACGTACATTAGGTGCTGGTTTTTCAGGTCGGATGCTATAAAAACATTTGAGAGTTATATATGTGTGTAGACCTAGACGTATTTTAACAATCCACTGGATTGTCTTACAAAATAAGTATTTAAAACCGAGGAATGTTTACTAAGTTTGGGGTAATGAATGGAATTAACACTAGGAACAGGTCCGTTAATGAATTAGACAATGGTAGTTTACTAGCCCTTTAGAAGATCAAACATTTTAGAGATTATTCGAGTTCTATGGTTTAAAGTAAGTTCAACTTGGGTTCACCACACCAGTTTCTACTAATCCTATTATAATGGGATTGTGAAGAGTTCTACTTAAGTCAAGATACTTTGACCAATATTTAGATTACCAATACCGTGGACTAATTTAATCCACAAGGATGTTTAAGGAAAAGGGAAGTCTACAGTTGAAGAGGTTTATTTTGTAAAAATTTTTACATAAAATGGCACTTCCTCATCACCGACATGAGTTAGTGAGATACATATCCATGTATGAAAGGTATTCCAGTAGAAACCAATTTTTGATACTTTCGATAACTTTCTCCGAAAAAATCTACTAGTGCCTTTTCTTCAGCATATATTCTTCCCTTGAAAAAAACAAATGTCATTATAGTATAAGCGACTAGGCACAAGGGATTGATGAGTAAAATCTGAGTACCAATGCACCAACAGAACCACCCAACATAAGCCGGATGGCGAAACCACGAGTAAACTCCACTTGTTACCAACTGATGTTTGCGATTTTTTGTGAACTGCACATAATGATTGAAATTCCCCCCAGCTGTGAGCAGAGCTAGTTTACGTAAAACTTCGCCGAAAATGCACATCCCAGACCCCAGACAGTTGATAACAGTAAAACTCCATCTGTATGATGAAAACACGTCGTATAGGAAGTATTTCTCTAGCCAGTACTCAAGTACACTTGCGGTAAGTGCTAGAACATATTCAGAGCTATGTGTGAGCATATATATGTCGAGTGAACAATTACTCAGGTTGTAAATGGAAGTGAAATAAAACTCGGACCAGTGGAAAAATGCAAGGAAGTCAAGATAAATTCCAAATGTACAAAAGTCACTTCGAATTTTCCTCATGGCAGATTGAAAGGCAAAGAATGATCCAAGACCAAAAACACAGCCCAGAAAGTATGCGCGCCAAAAGTTCCCATAAATAGGGCATTGATTGACGCCATTAACAAATCTGTTTACGTTAGATACAACGATTAGCGATGCGGGGACTAGCAAACAACTCTGAAGAAGAAGGGACTTAAAAACACAATTTACTATCGAAGTGGAAACATCAATGTAAAGAAGGAACAGAAACAAAGTAGAACCACATACGAAGCTCCAAAGAGACACGAGAGAATCCACACAGCGCTCACAACCCACAGATGGCTTGATACCCATCAAAGAAGTGGCAACCTGTGCTTAGTCACAAGATATTTTTGTTTACTAAGGGAGAAATGGGACTAGAGTGAAGGGAACTGGAAAAGAGAACCGAAGGAAAGGTGAGTCAACAACCCAGCAGGCGCACACGATGAACCTGAACTTATCAACAAAAGCAGTAAACGGCAGTCCGAAATAACACAAGCCTCGGATTACTGCAGTCTTAAGATCGAAACTAAAAGCACATATCCCAACGGCACGGTAGAAAAGTTATATCTTTTCAAAGTCACCCGCCGTTTCGTTTCAGCGACCTTGGACAGCCTCGCAATAAGCGGTCAGTACGTATTTCAATTGCTGCGTGTTTGTTTGCTGTCTGTTTGGCCGTGTTAATACTAAGTGTTCTCATATTTAAGTGGTCTTTTTCTGCAGAGAACCCACAAAATCATTGCGAAGAACATTAAATTAGCTCTCTCTGTCTTTTAGTTCACACGCTGGATCGACTGTTAGTTCGTAATATCCCAATCTCCCTATTTTGGGGAAACTTTTGTCTGATTGTGGTAAAGTTTGAGGATAATTTTGGTCGCGGACTTCCTGTTCTGTTTGCCCTGAGGAAAATTAACTGCGAGTTGATGTAATCTGGATTGCAGATAAATTGTAACATGCCAGTGTCCTTGCCGTCATATGCTACTGGCATACGCCAGAAGATGGACTCTTTCAGGTAACTCGATCATTTACGAAATATATCTGCATATTTCATCATATTCTTAGACATTGCAATTGATGGGAGATAGATAAAACTCACACTTTCCATAATAACATAACAATTTCGCTACCCAGACGACGAAAACAGTATGTTCAGATTCGACGAAGCCAATGTTTACTTAAGAATCATCAGTCAGTAGGTAAGACTGCAGTTTCTCTAATGTTTGTTGTTGTGCAGTTTTTTTTGCGATAGAAAATATAGATCGAAATGTAACAAAGTGTGACTACCTGACAGGAACTGTATACAATAAGAAACTCTTTATAGTAGTATTTTTAATTTAACTCTAGATCCAACTTGTAGACTGGTCTTTCTGCATCGAAATTTGTTCTTCCTGTACTAGTAGTGATGATGCATCTATAAACTTGCATAATTCTTATTTTCGTCTTCTTTGTAATTTCATGGGGAGATATACCGATAATCTTAACGAGCAACTGTTTGTGGAAACTAAAAAAAAGAAGTATTTGCCCTATAAATACCCGTTTCGTTACGAAAACTTGTAGTACAGCATCAGTTTAGAAGTTTCGCCAGTGTTGCGTTGTATATACATGTTTCTTCACTATGACAGTATATTCGGATGGATACCTGTAGTGGCACTGTTTCCTAACCACGCATATAATGACTGAAAAGATGTATATTCGTAAAGCGGGTAGAAAAAACTATCAACGTCAATCGTAACCCATATAATTTTTATTTTTCAGATACGCTGCATTATAATATATCAGTTCACTCAAAAACGATGATAATTATAATGGACAGAACTATTTATGGCTGTATATTTATTAGCAACGAATATAGTGTTCAAAAATAGTTTAACGCTTAATAACTTCAACCTACATTTTATAAACAACTACCAACATCCATGTTCATCACCACCATAATTAGGGAGGTGAATCAAACTTAAATAGTTTTAGAGCTGATTTTCACTTAAAACTCTGATCGCGATTTATTTTTAACTTGATAAATGGTGACTTTCACTTGCTTGAGTTTACTTACTTACGCCTGTTACTCCTAATGGAGCATAGGCCGCCGACAAGCATTCTCCAACCCACTCTGTCCTAAGCCTTCTTTTCTAATTCCATCCAATTCATGTTCATTTTTCTCATGTCTGTCTCCATTTCCCGGCGTAATGTGTTCTCTGACCTTCCTCTTTTCCTTTCGCCTAGAGAATTCCGAGTTAGGGCTTTTCTTGTGGCACAATTCGGTGCTTTCCTCAATGTATGTCTTATCCACTTCCAGCGCATCTTCCTGATTTCTTCCTCCGCTGAAATGTGGTTTGTTTTTTACACAGTAAGTTGTTGCTGATAGTGTCCGGCCAACGAATCCGAAGTATTTTGCGTAGACAACTGTTAATAAACACTTGTATCATCTAGATGATGGCTTTCGTAGGTCTCCAGGCTTCCGCCCTATACAGTAGAACTCTCTTGACGTTTTCATTAAAAATCCTGACTTCGGTGTTAGTTGACAATTGTTTTGAGTTCCAGATGTTCTTCAGTTGTAGATATACTGCTCTTGCTTTGCCGATCCGCGCCTTCATATCTGCATCAGATCCACCGTGTTCATCAACTATGCTGCTCAGATATATAAAGATTTTTATATCCTCCAAATCTTCTCTGTCAAGTGTGGTTCGATTGTTGTATGCTGTATTGTATCGGAGAATCTTGCTTTTCCCTTTGTGTATGTTGAGACATACTGCTACTTAGGCTGAAGCTATGCTGGTCGTCTTCGCCTGCATTTGTTGTTGCGTGTGCGATAGAAGAGCCAGATCATCTGCGAAATCTAGATCGTCCAACTGCATCCTAGCTGTCCACTGTATCCCATGCTTCTCCCAGATGTTGACATCTTCATGATCCAGTCGATCACCAGGAGAAAGAGAAAGGGTGAGAGTAAGCAACCTTGTCTAACACCGGTTTTCACTTCGAACGACTTTGTCAACTGTCCTCCATGCACGATTTTGCAGTGTAATCCATCCTAGGTATTCTGTATAATATTGACTATCTTTTCATGCTCGCCGTAGTGTCAAAGAAGCTTCCATAGTGTTGTTCTGTCCACGCTATCAAATACTTTTTCATAGTCAATGAAGTTGATGTAGAGTGATGAATTCCATTCAATTGATTGTTCTACAATGATCCGTAGAGTTGCGATTTGGTCTGTACACGATCTATCCTTACGGAATCCTGCCTGTTGGTCTCAATGTTGGGTGTCTACGTAGTCGTTCATTCTGTTTAACAACACCCTGTTGAAGACTTTTCCCGGTATTGAGAGAAGAGTGATGCCCCTGTAGTTATCACAGTTGCTGAGATCGCCTTCCTTCGGTATTTTGATCAGA